ACAGGAGGTTTAATGTTATGGGGAGGGAAACAAAAAAAAGATCAACAACAAAAAAAAAAGTTGCAACCCTCGCAAGCCCCCCCCCCCCCCCCCCCCATACGACAGTAGTGTGCACGACGATCACCCGGTTTTGCGGCTTTCTCGATAGGATCATAGATCGTCAGCAGCTTATCAACTTGAGAAAGCTACGTGACGGTTGTCTTTCCAGACGGATTTTAATATATTATACACCATCTACGTGAATGCTAATATTGAAGTACCGTATTTCCGAGTACATCCCTTTTTCAGTCGGTCGCCGGAAGTAGAATATTGGCAACACCGTAGAATACGTCGGCGGAGCAGCGTGTCAGGGGCGTATCAGGCTCTAGGGATCGAACGCACCACGTCTTTTTCCTTAGTTTCCTCTCATACCAGGCAAGATTACCCGAACCAGTTAGCATAAAGCCTATGCTAGGCTTTGACTGTTAAATTGTCAAAATCCCCTTTTTATTTATTTTTCGGGTACTAAGTATGAGCCAAATGATGGGGGCGTTTGGAAAAAGGCGTAACAATATAAATGTTTACTGAACAGTTCAATTTACGAACGGGAAATCCGTTATCTCACGACGGGCGTAAAAATTGCTTTTTACTGCGTGGGCTTCAAACACACGGGCTTACGTACTATAGAATAACTTTGACTTATTATATAACGGATGCAACATAAATATCCTACAATTCAAATATTCTCACCATTATCTGGTTTCTATTTGACATAATCTCCAGATATAATCATCAAGTGGAATTTTCTTTTAAAAAAAGAAGAAGCATTTTACTTATACCTATTCTTACAATACCAAAAAAAATTTAGTATTCCTACTGAGATTGAAACAATATTACGTGTCTCCACCTCCTGCTTGGTCACGGTACCGGGAAAGACCCACGCACTATGTACAGCATAGCAATCACGTAGACTTAAGCAATTAGTGAACGTTCTTTAAATACCGTCTTCAGTGATACCTAAACAGGAATCAATGCAAAGAAGACAGCACCAAGAAAAGAAAATTTGCTTTAAAAGATCCTTTGTTTATATTTGGTTACATCAAGTGCGGGTTATTGTTTTAAAATGGTGGATTTAACATGCAAGTGGCTTTGTACGTAATACAAGTCAAGAGGACCCTGGCACTTGGCACCGAAAGCAGATTTTTGTGGTGGTAGCTAAAAATTGGGGAGTAGTAAGTCAAATTAAGAGGTCATGTAAAGTGCTTAAACAAGAGTTCTAAATGGCTAAATAATTGACTCATCTATCTAACAACTTTTCGTTACTTAGGTATCTAAATCATTGTTATACATATTCGGCGATATGTTATAATGATTTAATAGGAGGAATTCTGTAATTTTTTGTCCAATAATTTATTGTCATTGATCGATGTAAAGGTACCATACCATGTTGAAATCATAGTTTAATGTAGAGAAATTTTTTACGGCATTTCTCCAAGTTTTTAAACTTACTATGCTCGCGATCTTTTCATGAGCGATAGATAGCAAATGCGACGGATAAAATTCTGCTGTCTTTTGATAAGTCCAACCCTTTTTATATGATGCAAAAATTCCAAAAGTTTCTGAAGATTTATCCTTGTTTGGCAACTAAGTAGTGTATTCCTTCTGGCAAGAAGTTTTAGAACTCGAGTTTAAGGTACGTTTTTAAGACCTTTTTATAGTGGATATACAAGTCCATCTCAAGCTTGTAATATAACTTGTATAGAACATTGAAAACTCAAAACTGCGACTTTCAAAGGGGTATATTGCCCTTAGCTATTGACATCCCCCGTTCATCGTCAGCCAATGGAAGAAGCTTGTACTCTAGGAAGAAGTTCAAAAAATGCCGAATATATTTATCAGCATCATTTTGTTATATATCCATGTCAATCGAGTGTGGTAATGCAACCCTGAGAGACGTTCAGATCGGTAGAACGTGGATGTAGGGAAGCAAGTTTAACACCTTACGTTTCATTGTTAGACATTATTTAACAGATCTCATGTATACAAAAAAACACAATAAGCCAAGCTTTTGTGAACCTCGAAAAGAGTCACCATTTTATCATCTGAGGGGCTGGGCTCTAGTAAACAATGTAAACAAAGAAAACCGCTGGAAAGTCATACAAAGGTAACTAAAACTCGTGAAAATTGCTTTCAAAACAAATGAATTAAGCTATAGCAAAAAATATTACATATTTTAAGAAAACTTGTATGTCAGCAATCTAAAATAAAAAAAAAAGTTATATTTGTTTTCAGATAACTTGCTGTAAACGGTGAAATAGTCAATGAGGGTCGAAACACTGATTTTTAGACAAAATGATGAAAGCCACTTAAATTGTATGATTTGACGACCGATTTCAGAAACAGCTCCTACATATCTTTCCTCCTTGGTTTACATTCAGAGAAAATCGAGACAATTCTCTTGCTGGCACTGGGAAGTTTATTATTTTGATTTTAACACTAAATTTTTCGTTATTTGGTTGCGAAAAGATCAAATGAATCGCCGTATAAATGATGATTTCTAAACCGGCTGGAGTGTCTTTTCATACTCTCTTGTAAGAAGTCAATGCCTCGTTGTGTCCTTTCTTAACATTTACTTTAATAACCGTAATTGGAATAGTCTGTTTGTTTGTTTTATTACTATGTTGTCTTTTAGAAATTGCATGGTTTTATAGTGTTTATAGTGTTCCAAACTTTGCAAAGAAACGTTGACTAATGCCACACAGGATTATTGATTCAATTCTTAACATGCTTATGGAACTTATAAAGATTTTCATTTCTGGCAATATTGTTGGCTAGTACATTTTATTTTTTGCATAAAAGTGCCGTTTGCATGTTGACGTATGTTGTAACTTTATTCAAGTTGCCTATATTATGTATGTATTTATTTTGTTTAAATAGAACTCTTTCGATCGATAGATGCTGCCTTTGACATTCTAATAACCCATCAACAATTACTCGAAAAAAATTGTTTAGAAGTGTTATTGCTTTCGATTAAAGTTGCTATTCAGGACATTATAACTCCGGATTGCTTTGGTTTCGTTTTATATTCTCAGTCTCTTAACAAAATTAGCACTAAATATGATTATACAACTTGTTAGAGTAATTAATACACCACCTGCATTCCTTCCACTATCAGGTGTCCACCCTACGTCTTGTTCGCGAACCAACTAAGGTTCGAACCTTAGTACAGTAAAAATCCGAGATAAAGGACCTACATTTTCCCAAGTCAGCCTTAACAGGTCCTTACATAAATGGTAATCAACACAAATTTAGGCTATTTAGATTCTTAAAGAGGTTCATATTTTCTGAACGAAAAAAGGTACCTATGAGTCATTAAATGGTACTCAGCTTATTCCTTATATAAAATCTGCAAACCAAATTAGTATTTATGTAAAATGACTATGCGAAAAAGGACTGATTGAAGCACTGACCACATGGCTTTTGAAGTCCTTTAGCCCAAGTATACAGAATTTTTTTTTTAGATTTTAGAATATAAGAACCTGTTTCAAATTTTAGGCTGAACAGGTTCTTGTACAGAGGGGGCCTAAAAGCAAATTTTAGCCCAACAGGTTCTTATAGTAGCGGGTTTTTACTGCTGGAGATGCTGCATCATGTTCTCCTCCTATGCCCTTAAATACGTTCACCTAAGTTACAGAAAAATGATTAGCTCAGGGTATACGGCAAAGTCTTAATATGTATTTGAAGGGTTGTTTAACACTAGAATTTTGAATTGAAGTGCAATAAACTTTGCTTCCATTCTTTAATGTATAACAATTTAAATACTTGAATGGCCACTTAATTCGTGGACCACAACATATATAGACTTATTGAGCATTTTACTTACAGAAGCTGTAAGTTACCCTCACAGGAATAATATAATTATATTATGTTACAACATAGTCTGTTATCCTCATGGTGAAGTTATTTTCCTGACTAGCTCACAGCACTGAAAAAGCCACATTTTGGGCCAGGTAGCTCATAAAAAATCTGACACATTGAGGAGTTTTGTACAACAAATAGAAAAAAAAGTAGTTGTGCATAGTTCTCCGACACAACTGGAGCTAACCCTTATCATTTCTACAAGAACGGTCGATTTTGCGTTTCCATCACGAAAATAATATTATCTGTAAGAAATAGTCGATACCATCGTCCACCTGCGTCTCTAAGGTAATACTTGACTGTAAGCTGTGGCAGGATATTTCAGAAACTGTCTCCCAGTTTGCTGTTTTCATTCGCACTGAATCTCAGTGTTATTAAATAAATTACTTCCACAGTGTAAGTAGCCGACTTTTTATCACTGAATCAAAAGTCGAACCACGGAATAAAAAGTTGTTCTTGCTACAAACAAGTTGTGACAAAAGTATGTACCTTGTCAATCCGGCAACACTCGACGATCTTGAGTTTGAGTTTTTGAGTCTGGAGACACTTGATTGAGATCAACATATTGGTAGGTTAACATTTTAACTTGGGTGTTGCTCTCTATTCTTTGTAGGGATTTCGAAACTCCCAAGTATTGTACAGTTCCTTACATGAGTGAATGTATTTTCTTTATATGAGACGATCGATGGTCGGAGCGGCTAAAAGATCTTCCACAAAGCGGACATACGTAGGGCTTTTCTCCAGTATGTCTTCGATAGTGTCGCTTGAGTTCGTCGGAACGTCGGAAACACCACCCACAGTCTTCCCACGGACACAGGAAGGGTTTTTCACCTGTATGAAGCCGTTTGTGAGTACTAAGGAGCGAACGTTTCGCGTAGCGCTTTTCACAGCCTGGAAAATCGCAAAGGAACCCGTCATCGTGATTTAGTTCCAGTTCCTCGTAGGTCGAGGAAGATGTTGAGAAGGTTTGCCCTCTGGTCGCAAAACCCAAGTCTATGGCTCCATTTGTCGATGTACTGTCTGCAGTTATTTGGGCTGGGGTTGCCACTCGTGACCATCTGTGTGTTAGACTGAAGGAAGGCGCACACTGGGACTGTACAACTGTGTACATGTTTGGCGCTGGATCTGGAAATCGGCAGTCTCTCTTCTCTGACATTTGTTCGAACTCTGGCAGTGGAGTGCTTGCGTAATTTGCTGGTGTTTCCGTAGGAGTTGATACGGGAGAAGATGACCACAAGTAGCTATAATCCATTTCGTGGAGAGTCTATCAAAAAGGTGAAGAATACGAATTAGATATGACTATCTATGATCGATCATCACACCATAGCATGAATAAAATGATAAGAAACGGCGTTCATTGCATTGTTAGTTAACGAGGAAGGGACTTTCGACTTTGGTAGGATTTGCAAGCAGTAAACACTTCTCTCAGTTTAAGAATTTGAACGGACCCCGACCTCGACGTTGCAATTGTGTCGCCTTTACGGCCCATAATTTTAGTTAAACTAGAGCAATTTAACTTGGTCGTGATAAAAGAAAAGAACATAGCCTTTTTTGCGTGATGTTACCAAAATAACCAGTCGTTGTTTTATAACTTTTTTGAAGATTGAGGACTAAGGGACCATCAATTATTGCAATGCTCTGAGGCATTAAGAAAATCATTCATGGGTGCAGTTTCTGACTCGAAATCTCAAGGATCCGTGTTTCAGAAATCACGATAGTCGAAGTAGCTTTACCAGTTTTAGATATCTACTTCCAAATATATTCTAAAATCTATTTTCAGAATGACTGATTTGATTCACGCTATCAATATATAGTTACTCTTTGGTATAACGTCTTGCATTTTATCTTGTTCCTTTTCAAAGCCAGTGTCTTGTGACTCGAGAGGGAATTGTCAAGAACGTTTGGGAAAATTGAAAATAACTCACCTGTTTTACTTCTTCCTCTGTGCTAAAGTTCACAGGGGCCCACCATGCAGACGCAGCCTCGTTCCCAGGGTTCTCTCTCGAAGCAAGAGAGAGAACCCTGGGAACGAGGTAAAGGCCATACTCATTGGAAAAAGTCTCCTAACTGGGTATTTAGGCGTGGCTCAGGCATTATTTTATCCAACAATAACAGCAACAATTTTATTGGCATCCGGGCTTATACAGAAACGGTATTGTAATTAAAATATAATTACAATTTAACTGAAAAAAATGACAATAAAAATTCTCAGTAATCTCTATTTCACATGCTTTTATTTCAGTTTTGACAACTTTTTCTAGGTGAAATAATTCGTAAACAAAATAACTAAGATTTTTCAGTAAAAACAAACGGATCAACACTGTTATAAAGAAAAAGAAGTTTTTCCAAATTATTCAAGTCTGTGAAGCTGGAGTACTACATAGTATGACGACATTTACTAATTCTATTTAGGAATTTCCCTAGTACGTACAAGCCAAATTGGTACCTTTATGGGTAAAAAAATATTGGTTCTCCGTCCTGAACTCTCTAATTGAGACTAACAGTAGCCTGTTCAAAGCTTTCTAATGGTGGGGACGGCGCGAAAAAAAAAAGTGGGCAGGGAAAGAACAGCGAGGAAGGGGGAGGGAGGGGGAGAGAGGATGAGATAAAGACTAGAACAAAAACAAAACATCGTGGCATGGCGTTGAAACGGCACGAAAATAACAAAAATAGGTCTTTATGAGGTAGGTACACTTATTAATACCTTATTATCTGTATTTTTGATGTATTGTCGAACGAACTATTAATATTCTCCGAAAAATCTTTATATTTTGGTCTCGAAGAGTTTGTTTTGTGCCTGGGCTCCCTGCAATGAGATATTCTAAGTTTTCACTAAAGCAATTTAAAACATGCAAATTACTGCATTGACTGGTAACAGCCGGGCGCGATTTGTTCTCGAAAATTAAAGCCTGCCGGGCATGAATCGTATCATGAAGAGTAAATCGACCACTTACACTGACTATTACTATAGAGCAGAGAAGTGTGACGTCACGTTACCATGGTAGCAAAATTTCAGGATCACAACTATAGGGAGTTTCTGCAACGGCGACGGGCAAACAGCAAAAACGCAATAGGTTTAGATTGGCAATAGAACAACTTTCCATGTGTATCACGCTTTTTTGTACATTCCTTAGCCGTTGTTGCAATTTCACGCGCCCGCTTTATGGAGTAGGTGAACACAACACAAAATTTCGCCAACATTTGACAAATTAAATGAAATTAAATAAGATCAATGAAGTTTGAAACAGTGCAAATCCACTTTTTAAGTGACGTTTTGGCTTGTTGTCATCCAGAAATTTTGCTACCATGGCAACGTGACTTAGCGACTCTCTCTATTAATGACAAGTTCGTTGGTTTGGCCAGTTTCATACATGCAAAAACTGGTCCTACTCTGTATACAGTAGGTACTTCTTAACCGACAGTTGCCACTAGATCTATTTGTATAAAGATGTTTCCGCTTGACAGCGGAAAGGGAACTTGGGGGCTCTGTTTGGGTTTGGACGTTATCATACAAGCAATATCGTAAACACTACCCCACCCCTACCCACCATAGTTATTGGCTCATCTACCTGTAAACAAATTAAAAACATAATTCATCCAATTATACGACCACACGGATGTAAGACCCTCTCTAGCTCCAGTTATAAGGCTCCCTCTGAATTCTTTTTATTTTATTATGACGTTTTGAAGCTTAATTAAGAACCAGTTAATGTAACACGCATTTTGAGCAGCAGTGCTATAGCTTGATTCGAAGCGCTTTTTCTAAGCCGGTTATAGGCCCCCTAGTATATTGGCCCCTCCGTTTATAAGTCCTTTTGAGAGCCCTTGCGAAGATGTATTGGCCCAGGGCTTACACGCCTGCACAGCAGGCTTTAAAATCTAACCAAAGAACCTAACCGGCGCCTGCTGCGCAGGCTAAGGGCTGAGGCAGTTTACAGTATTGGAATAGGAAGATACGGAGGGGGAGTGGGGAAGCGATTTCACTGTTTTCACCACATGATCATTCACGTGATTTAGCCACGCAAAAAAGTAGTTACCAGTTCTCGGCAGAGAAAAATTAAAGCCCCTGAAAAGTTAATGAGTGGGGACAACTACAGTGCAGTGGAGTCGAAAACAAAGAAAAGGTCGATGAGATACCCCATTTGCACTGAGCCCTTCGGACGCAATTATGGATTATTACCGGTTATTGTAATTGTTGTAATATTAGGTATTATAATCTAACTTTAAAGAAAAACGTGATCAAAAAAATTAAAATTTAATGAGTGTTTTAAAATCTGCCAAACCCTAGCTGAGTTAGTTTTTCAGATCCAATTTTCAAAACCCAAACAAATCTTGCAAAGATAAAACAGATCTAGAGGAAAGACTACTCAGTCGTTCAGTTCAACTAGTCTTATCCAGTTTTCAACACTCATAATCAATAACAATAAATGGCCTATTAGCTGAGCCCCCCCCCCCCCCCCCCCCCCCCCCCCCCAACCCCGACTCTATCTCAGCGACCCCTCTCCCCCCTCCACACGTTTACGGCGCAGGTCCCTTCTGATGTACACAAAAATACATAAATGTGTGGTGTCTGTTTGAATGGTTATGTGTGAAAATAATAAGTGAGAACCACAAAAAAAACAAATTTTAAACACCAAACCAATATTTCAAAAATAAAAAAAATATGAGGAAAAACCTACTCAAGCCGTTAATTTAACCATTCTTATCCCGTTTTCAACACCCAAAACAAACAAAAAACAAAGGCCCTTTTACCGAGACCCCCCCCCCCCCCCCCCCCCCCGTATAAGATGGGGAAAATTAGTCACGTGCATGCATCTTTATACCCGGTTAAGACTAAGGGTCTTTCTGAAAAAAAAAGCATTTAAGGTTTTGATTGCCATTCTCGAGGCAAATTGGGGTTCAATAAAGAAACAACTGAAAGAGAACGAAATTATCGATAAAAATATTTAGACAGTCCTTTACAGAAAGCACGGTTGTGTATGTAAAATTAGCTTCAATATTACCCTGTAAAAATATCAATCAGGCAAATACGAATGATTTTTATTGATTTATATAAAAAGTGGACCAAAATCTCCGTTTGTAAACATAAGCAGTGTTTACAAAATCAGTAGTTCATTGAGTGAAAACAAAAATGGGAATGCATTAGCTATACGCTGAAGCTATAATTAAAATGCTTTGTTTAACACTGCAATGGCGTCACTTCTATTGCCCTCTTTCAAATGGTGCTGCAATCCACAGCAGATTCCACCGGCTGTACAAACTTCTTGAAGTATCAGAACACTCTCCATCGTCTTTAAACACTTCCTGGACGAACTTTGTGCGCCAAAGCTCAAAGGTTCTGTGCTTGTATTTACAATAGCCGTTTCAAAACTAATGACTCAGATTTTACGCGTCCATTTCGATTCCAAAACATGCTTCTTTTATCTCAATCGACAAACTTCAACAAAATGTCGAGAAAAAATAACAAGCACGTTTTCAAACTGAACATATTATAATTTCTGATACTTTAATTTGTTTCTATTATACCCTAAGGCACGAGTCTAATTTTGACTGTTAAACACTTGGCATGTTTTAAAGTTTTTTTTTTGTAATTTAATCACTGTTTATTTCAATTTCTTGCCTTACAATAGTAACATTAATTTTTACATACATTACCGACATTACAATTTTTAAAAAAATAATACACAAATAACTCACACACGCACGCACAGCACACACGACACACAACGACACTATCAATACTAGTAAACCTTAACAAGTATTTGTCGCAATTGTGTACCACCTGTCAAGAGTGCTTGCCATTTCGATTAATGAAAAGACATTTTATTCTTCGATTTGGCAATGATAGTTTCTAATTGATAAACGTTATTGAGTCTTGCCAAGAAAATCCTTAAACAAGGGTTTGTTTTCGTGCATCTGCAATTATATATATACTGCTTACCAACTAGCAAAATATGATTAATGAATAAATTGTCTTTATGTACCTTTATCCGAAATAATATATCTATCTTTAGCAGAGAGATGGTTAATATAAACCAGCCCCCAATTGCTACACCATTTAATAACTTCTGCCCAAAAACTCTGAGTAATCAGGCAAGAGACAAAAGACTTGATAAAAGACTTCTATTTGTGTTTTAAACATAATGTAAAAGATGGTTTCAACACCGGCCTTTTATGATTTGTACAAGTTGCTTCCAAAACATGGCCTGCATGTTTTGCAGATGAACAATATCGGTGAAATTACCTAAAACT